AGGCTGAGCATACTTAGGTTATACTAAAGACGTAATTTCTCTTGTGGATCAATAAAGTTTGTCTAAGTATACGAAGGAATATGATTTAAACTAAGATGTAAAAAGAGGTAAAAAACATGACCAAATCAATGGTTGGTGATGTAAGAGAACACATGCAGTGATTTCACAGAACTGGATTAATCTGCAGCACTTCACACATACATCTGATTTGATTAATGAGAGGAATGTGCATTATTACCAACACTGCAAAGTGAGTGACGCCACACTCAATCCTGCTGCAGTCTACATGATAGAAACACATGCCGCATTGGATTTCCATTAAAACGGCATAGCTCAACAACCGCTACAAGTCTCCGGCAATTTGTTAGAGGAGTTAATTGGTCACCAGTTCATCCAATTCATCTTAATGCTTGTTTTTGGAGCTCACCCAAAGAGCATGGAGTTAGCAAGAGGGGAAGCCAACAGTCATCCAAACACAGTGGACTAAAGACAGTGTCAACCAACTAAAGAAGTGATTGAGACTTCTACCATTTGAACGAGCTCTGTAGTTTACAATTGTATTTTCAAAATGATTACAATCTCACAATCAGAAAAGTTGCAAAACTTTCTAGCCATTTGAATTTGACTTTCAAAATGCTTAGGACTGGGACATGAGAGTGAGGTTAATAGTTAAACTATGATTCAATTTTAGCTTCTATCCTTCTCTTGAGTTCTGTAGGGCAAGACATGTGGGACAGGGGAATGTAAGAGTTGGTGTAAAATAGATGGCATATCTATTACATTGAATGTATTTGCATATAGTAGTTATGCCAACAAGCTGACACATTTAAAAGTCCGATATATTACGTAAAATTTAATCTTGTGAGCTTTAAGCCATGTTATAATGTTATAATCATCAAAAACATAGCTGCAGTTGTGTTTTGTTTCATTCACACTTTATTTTATTTTATTTCTCAAGTTAACCTTTTACCTTTTGTTCAGTAGAGATTGGCAATTGCAGGACTGAAAACATCCAAATGCTATAGTGAAGGTGCATGGAGTTTAAAAACACAGAGGAGCACTTCCTGTATTCTCACCTGACATCACAAGGTGAAACAGAGCATTTTCAGTTTTAGAGAAGAACATAGCCTAAATATGTAGGGTGTTGTGGAAAAAATTATATATCTGTCTTGAAGATAAATAATGAATCCATTTGCAAAGCCCGATGAGTTTTTGGAATATAGACTAAGGTTTATTCTTGTTACAGCAGATATGGACAGGGCCTAGGCCTGTTTCGGCCAAAGCCCAACAGCCTCTCACCGTGTCTCCCCCATGTCCCCTCCTGTCTCTTCCCATCTCCCTATCCCAGAGCATTTGAGCTCTCAGTATTTATACAGAAATACAAGTTGCATACATATCAATGCAGAGTGACTTTGGTTTCAGAGGCTGGTGCTAAATGAACATACAGTTGATGATAACAAAAGGCTTCCTGAAGGCGGAGACAGTTGTGCCTGATGAACCTTTACACATGTTAATGACTGGTCTGGGTTTCAGGTAGAAATCACATTAATTTACACAAAACAGATTGAGAGAAATCTTTCCACAATCTAAATTTCTATCACAAGGGTTTGTGTGTTAAACATGTGTGAATGAAACAAAACACAAATCCAGATCTGTTTGTGATGAAGAAACAACATTATGATATAAATCAGAAAATCTTAAAATTAGACATTAAATTTTTTTTATGAGTATCCCAAACTTATTGAACTGTGTATAGAAAATTGTGTATCATCATCAAGTGTGTATATGGCACTGTGCATACCATTCACTCTTTATAGTTAGTGTTTACTTGCTGTTGTGGCAGGTGGTGCAGTCTCCCAAACGTAAAGGCCCAAACATAAAGTGCCACCTCACCTCTGAACGCCTCTCCTTGAGCTTCTATCCCGTTACAGTACAGCTAGAGTCCCCTCCCTGTCCCAAAAGTGGCCAGCTGGGATGTGCTACACTGTCCCTGCTAACCTTGGCCAGTGTGTACGGATTACCTTGCATTTACACTCTCCTACTTTCCTTAAGACTTATTAAGAATGATAATGAGCTCGCAGAGGGGGCAGCGCGTCTCCTCTCTGCTCGCCTCCTCTCCTCTCTCTATGCCAGCGTATTGAAGGAACCCCAGGACAAATCACCAAAAAGGCCATTTTCATCTATGAACGGCCGCGTTTAATCGATACTTATTTCATGCCTTCAAAATCAAAGCCTATATTACTGTTGTCTGCATGATTTGTTTATTTGGCTTGGCGAATATTCCCCGCTATGGAAGTAAGGGGTGGTGGGGGGATGCAATTCACCTTGAACCTCCATTATATTGGATTTCTCCACTGGCTGATCAAGCATGCAAAAAGGACATTTCCTCTGCACTAAAATAAAAACAATAATGATGATTAAAAAAACATGTGTGCTATTTATGCTGGTATTACGGTATGTGGAGAAGGCAGTATATTCTTACAAGGGGAAACGCAATGGTGGGTTTGTATACAAAGTCATTACAAAAAAGCAATAGATAAAACTTACTGTTAGGTCAAAATGATGCATGCAGTGGCTGTGGACAATGACCCAGAGCACGCAATATTTAAGATGCACAAATAAAGTGGGAAATATAGGTTCAAATATAAGGGATTGGAATCGATGAATAAGAGGAAGAGGGCATGATCAGATATTACACAGACTTTACTCACACAAGAATGAGTCATCATGGGAAAAAATAGTTCTGTATTAGTCAGTGCTCCTGATAAAGTGAGTTTTCCAGCAAAAGTAATTTAAGCAAAGATTATTCATCAACATTAACATGACATATTAGTGTACTATGGGTGTCACTATATCAAATTATTGTTAGATTAAACATCACAATTGTATGATTATTCACGATCACTGAATCCATGACCAAACAACAAATTCACTTTTCATTCATGTGACCATTACTCTAGTAAGTGAGCAGCTGTATAAAATCAAACTTGACAAAACAAACAAAATGATAAAGAAGACACAAGAAGTAAATATGACATAGTGATCAGATCCCAAAGTACTTTAGGTTTAGTGATTTGGTGTATCGATAGCATAGAAATGACTTATTTTTGTAAAATGCTTGTAAAATTTCCGCAATTCATTTTAGTTCTCATGATTATATCAATTACACTAATACTGTCTTGCACTATAGCCACGCTACTGTTTAATGCTCTAAATGTAATTTCACAGTAACTTGTGACAATGACAATAAACCCTTGAATCTTGTGCTGTGTAAAATAAATGTTATCAGATCATGATGTCATAAGTATAAAAAAGAAAATAAACCATATATTGTTCTGTTTTAACTGAATAAAAAAGGTATTGAACCTTTACTGTTGATATCACATCATAGTTAATTCATTTACCACAGTAAGAAGTCGTGCGACCATTTTCTGAAGCTTGTCAAATGGCGCTTTGGTATTATCATTGCTATTTTGACATCAGAGATCCAAGGTCCAGCCCCAAGGTCAGAGAGAGACGAATCCACCAGGGTTTAATTCTACACAGCCCTTTGACAAATGTAGATTGGTGCTTATGAGACATGGGGCATTTCAGTGACTGATAGGACTGCAGGAAATGGGAACGTCGCACTGATTAACCAATGAGATGCTGCGCTAGTGAAGTCAACCAGGAACAACGGCATCACAAACAACAGTTTAAGTGCAGATTCAGGGAGAGACACGCAATCACAACAACGAAAGGAGTAGAGAGCCATAAATACTCTTCACACTACAGTATAGGCCATATCTGGGATGGAGATGGGAAATATATTGAAAAATTTAAACACTGAAATTGTTATTTAAGAGAAAAGTTAAAAAACTGCAAAACAATCTACCAGTTCCAAACAAAAAATACTTGAACCCCAATAAAAAATACTTTTACAGACACATGTTAGCACAGTTCAAATCAAGTAGCATAAAAATTGTCTGAATATTGTCACTGGAATAATAAAAAAGTGTCTACTGTTTCTTACACTACACAATATATATACTTATACTAAAATGTCCCAACTCGATATACGACTACATGAACTTATGACTGATACATTTTATGTTACAGTATTCAAGAGAGCTGAACTATTTTGAAAAGATATAGCAAATTTTTTTCTGACATTCATAAGTAAGAAAATTTCAGAGATTTAATTTCTTTTATTTCACTTGTTCATTAATTTACGATGAATATAAAATAATGATGCTACATACATCAAATGTGAATGAAAAGGAGCAGACAGAAGTATAAACCTGTAAAATCTGCCCCCTTCAAGAGATGACTGAAATATCAATTGCAAAAGTCTAAACTACAGGGTTAGCAGGTTTTAAAGTGAATAAATCAGGATACGGTGTTGTTTGCAGACAAAATTATTTACATAATAGTTACTTAGATATTTGCAGAATTGCAATTTGCTAATAGTGACCATTCAAACTGTGATTTTAATAAGATTCTAATTCATCTCGAAGCCGTAATATCCAAAAAGAAGGAAAAGTATGAAAGAAAGGAATGAAACAATCAATATTTACATTCTTAGCACTACTTTATCAGTATTTAAAAGTAGCCAGCCCAGACTGCAGCCTTACACTTCCACTTGACTTGCCCATGTATCTGTGCTGTGTGTCTGTCACCTGCTCCTGATTATAGTTTTCATAAGCTCATAAAATACTAGACGCCGCTGAGTAAACTGTGTGTAGGTCTGGGTAAACCTCTCTATTGAAAATCACACAAAATGCAGCTGATTTCATGTCTAAACATGTGTTTTTGAGCCCCTCTGTTCATGTGTACCGGGCTTGCATGCATCTGCCACAGTCCCACTGCACAGCTGCTATGGAAAATACCTCAAAAGCATGCATGAATCTTTTAACATTAGATAATTATTTCATCTACAGCTGTTTGGTAATAGAGAAAAAACAGCAGAGCATCAAAAGGTGCACGGCATGGAAAATGAAAGAATAAACTTTGGTGTTTACCTTGTGTTGTACGCGCTGTGGCATTTTTAATAAAGAAGATGGCTTTCCATGAATGATCTGTTTAACTGCAGACAGGAGGGAGAGAAAAAAGGGATAATTAATTACTTTTGTGAGCGAGTGCACGGCTCAGACAATAAACCTGCCTGGTCGCCATGGATATGACATATTTGCTCTGAAAACAACACAATAATTAGCAAAGGAGAAAGATCCGGCGAGAATATGAGAACTGGGGCTTTAAAGTGCCACTGATCTATTCCTGTGTGCGTCTTCATCGTGAGCCACAACAAACACGCACAGCTCTAAACACACAAGTGCACATGGATAAAAGCACAAAACAGGCCCTTTATTAAAATCACACATTGTACATGCTTTTGTTTGGGTCATTTACACATGAGCGCTTACTGCACTGAGAGTGGAGACAAAAACCTGCCTCACAGCCACACAGCACAGAACATGATGTGTTGGAGATGTATCAATAACACATCTCTTTTCTTTTAAATTCTCTTATTCATGTGACATAAGCTTTATAAACTTCACAGCCTGCAGAATATCATATGGTAGATCTTTTATTTCTATTATTATAGTGGTGTCAAATACTTCAGAGCCTTTCTTCCTCATTTTTATTTTAGCTAAATATTGATTTTAATACTTCCTCTATTAATAGTAAATGAACATTGCATTACAACCCCTTTAGGAAACTTTCTACAGCTTCTGCCTAAACACTGAGCTTTACTTTAGCCAGCCTAATTCCAGTCTTTTTGATAGACAATGTGTTGCTTTAGTATGTAAATCATTTGTTTAAATAGACTATCAAGCATCATTGTTAAAGTTGTCTGCGTAATATTTCAATGCAAACGCAACGCATTCCACGTTCTTTCGTTTTGAATTGTGTGTCATGCGTGAAGCGCGCTTTAAGAACTGAGCCGAAACTAGGAAAAAGTTACACACAGAAGTGTCAACTTTTGGAGCAGGAGCTGTCTCCGCGATAGGACAGCGCCTTCCGGTGTGGAATGTCCAAAGTCATAAGCATCGCCCCTTCCCTCTCCTCTCCCGCCGTGTCCACGCAGCGGGACTGACAGCGGGCAGGAGCGGAGACCTGCTGCCGCTGGCGCCGCTACATCGTCACCGCTCACACCGCTTTCACCGAGCCCGTGTCCCCGTGTACTGTTTCAAAGTGTGTGAAAGTGCTTGTTTCGCGTCCCCCACACGTGTCGAGGAACAGTTTGGTGTCGCTTTCCGCTGTGTTTGAAATGCATGAGGCTGGCACTAGTTGAGAGAGAAGACAAACTCTTACCTGAGGTTCCTGCGCAGCTGTCTTCCGCTCACTTCCATCCAGAGGGGCGTGAATGTTTATTACAACAAGAGCTGTCATTCTCAAAGTTGACACCTTTTCCAGTTTTGATGTTTTTTATTGTTGCTTTTTCTAATTTCTTCCAAGCCGAGTCGCCCGGAAGACGTGCCCTGGAGACCGGCTCCGAGTGGGAAGAGGAGTCCTTAATTGAATTTATGGCCGCGCAGGTGGCGCGTGGAAAAGCAGGACTGGACTCCACCGTCAATGTCAGACAGTCGTGATTTTACCTCTGTGTAACCGAACTCTGCAGCACAGAAGAGATGCACAAAGTTTATCGTGACATTTTTGCGTCTAAACCACAGAAGTTCAAGATTCGCTCATCTGTTTGATGAGCTTCTGTTGCAGTAGTAAAAAGGAACAGAAAATAAAAACACAAATAGGCCTACAGTTGTTTCTGAATTCCACATATCCATTTAAGTTAATTGTATTTAAAAAGAAATAAATAAGCTACACACTGAATGGGACATTTAAGTCAAATTAAAAACCATTTATTTGAAAGCATGCAGTGCACAATGACAAGAAAAGATGCAGGGTTGAGGCTGGTTATTCTCAATGTATTACTATTACTAGGCATATGTTTATATTAATGTTATTATGAAAAAGGTGTCCTAAAGGTGTCCATCCGTTATATAGCCTACTATTATAGTTTTAATGCATATCTAGGCCTTCTATCATCTCCCTGGAGACTAAATGGCCCTCCCTGTGTTTCCCTTCACCTTTCCTATCAGCACACATGTCAATAACACATATAAAATATTCTCCTGGTGTGACTGCTGCAGGTACAGGTAAAGCCCATAGGAACAACCCCACTCTGATCATTTTAAACTTGAACCCTCCTTATCTAAATTCTGCAGTCTCCTGGTCTATTGACAAACAGATTATTGCCAATTAGCACTTTTGTGATGTGTCCTGTTGTACATAATAAAGAATACAGGGATCGATGGCAAAGTCAACTAACAAGGAAGATAATGCCTTAATCCCTGCCTTTCTCAGAGGTTAGGTGTAAGAAGCACTAGGTTATGTGTGGACTAAAATGGCAAAGTACAATACATGTATAATACGCATTTAGGATTTCAAGCTAATTCAATGTCTCTAGCCTACTTAAAGTTACAAGGTCTAATTCTGATCTGAATGAAAAGTCTATGTGGTGCAGGGTACAATAAAATCTTAGATGTGATGCAATGGTGGAAGAAATGCTCGATTTTGTTACTTAAGTAAAAGTACAGATACCAGAGCAAAAAAAATATGGAAATAAAAGTAAAAGTATCTCACAAAAAAATCTATTTCAGTAAAAGTATTAAAGTACCCATTTAAAATTTGACTTAAAGAGTAAAAAGTAAATACATTTCATGCATATTTTGATATCTTAAATAAAGTACACATACCAAACATTTTTACTCAAGTATAGTACTACTTTGACTTCATTACGTGTCACCACTGGTGTGATGTACATGTGACTTGTTTCCATTGACCGAAAAAAACATGTGAACACTAAACACATATAAACAAGGGGTTAGGCCATCTCATTTACAAACACTTGGGGGGGTTGTGGCATAGGCTAGTGGTTAAAAAGAATAGTGGTAAATATTTGCAAAAGTACATCCAGCAAATATACCGAGTACGCATTTGAAGTGTATCACTTCCTCCACTCATTCACAAATGCTTAGTTTAACTGTGGTGTGAAAAACTAACTTGGGGCCAATTCAGGGATTTTATATTTGAAATACAGTTATAGTTAAGTATAGTTTGTAACGCTGGAAAGGTGAGGTTAGAAATTTTTGCTAGTTAACTAAATATTATTGAAATCAGTAGCCACAGCAGTAAGGAAAAATTGCAATGTAAAATCTAAAATTATGTCTTTATATACAGTATGTGAGAGAGAAGAAGTATCGACATTTATAAAAACAAGTCTCATTATTTTACTCACTTGTTTCTAATCACCCATATGGTTTTTATTTGTGATTTAAGAGTCCAGCTGATTTGAACCCAAAACACCGTAAAATGTCTGACCTGTGTTCCTCCTCCAGTCTGTCCACAGTGACCGTGGCGGGCCTCCCATCCATCAGAGCTTCTCCTGATGTTGCAATACTGTGATAGCGAATAATAAAGACGTAAGAAAGACCAGAAAATCAATAGATTATTCTGCAGATCACTTGATTCAGTAATGATCCAGTGCATTTATGGCCTGGCGTTGATTCATACGGGCTGCTCTCAAGGGCACGTGCAGCCAGCCCACCTCTGCCCCGCTGACTCCTGCCATGGTCCCACTAATTATCAAACATTAAAAACTAATCACAGCGACCCAAGGTTAAAAAGACACACTTTGCATAAACTAAAGATTTTTCTATCTGCGTGAACATAAAACATGAAGATCTGAGTCAAGAGGTTAGTGCTGCGTGTGTGTGTTGCTTTATATGTGTTGTATTGTTCAATAATAAAGGTGCTAAACCTTAAAATTATTACAATTCAGTCTCCAGCAATCAATACAACTGGGCACATTTTACTCAATAGGTTTTCAGTATTGAACGCACTTGAAACTTGAAAGCATAATTCTAGTTGAGAATCAATTTGAAAGGAAAAATACTTACTTCTCTGCTTGACCATGTGGATCCTGACTTCTCTCACACTGAGGTCAGAACTAACACAAGCCGCTAATTGGCTGAGGAGTGCGTAATGGCAGAGTGGTTAGCATTTCTACCTCATAATGACAAGGCCAGATGGATGTGGGTTATCTCTGGGTACTCTTAAATTTCTCACACGATTCAAAGCTTAACATAACTGAACAGCTTTGTTAGAATGTGAAAGAGAATGATCTGTTGAACAACATGAACAGAGGGTGACCCTTCTCCAGATCTTGAGCCAAAATCTGCTGGACAACCCAGCTGAAGGAGAAACCTAACTCAGAAATAAATAGGGTTATTTTTGCTAACTTCACTATGCTGGGTTCTGTTCAGCATATATTAAAACAGTCAAGGTAAGTTAAAAGATGCACTATATAAAATTTCTGTTGGAGGCTCCATCACATGCTCGTCTCCATGGAGATTTTGTTTTGCCTGGAATGTTCTGCAGTATGGCATTATTATTACTCTCCATGGAGGCAAGCTGTTCAGTTACTGGTCACGGCTGGAGAGGGGCAATCCTGTTCTTAGTAAGAATGCATATTTTCAGGTATTTTTCAGCAATAAAAACACCTGTAGTTGAATATCTGAATAAATCAATGCTAGATAAGTTCAATGCCATACTGTGGAACATTCCTGGCAAAGCAATAAGAAGACAAGCAGGTGGCGAACCCCTCACCACAAAAGTTACGGTGTGCACCTTTAAATCTCACTGACAGACAGTTTACTCCCAGAACAGCTGGTCATGTGATGTCTTCATTAATTACACTCAGGCTTGTTTAGAATGCATAAACGTTGGTCATAATTTATTGGCAAAAGTGCGACAGGGCCTTGCGCACCTGTCACCTGTGAGCGGGGCAGAGGCAGAATCCTGATGAAGGTCGACTTGTTTTCAGTCACTTTGCATGAGCCACTGCATGAACCCGCATTCACCTTAATGAAATAAAGACATGTACAAATGTCCTTTAGCAGGTGGCTGTCTCATGGAAGTTAGAGGAGGTGGCAGCTGCCGGAGTCTGGTAAACATGAGCGTTTTTGAGCAGCGCTGGTGTGTGTGCTGTGTGGTTAGATTGGACAGCTGTCTCCATACCTACCTCACTGTGCTGACTTACAACTAATGCTCTATCAGGCCTCTGTATATATTTTTCCAGTGCATTTTGACATGGTGCAGAGGAGTTGAGTCCACACACACACACACACACACAGAGAGGGACACACACACACACAGAGGGACATTTGGTGTGACAGATGCAGCGCGCGTGAGGAGCAGAGGACAAGCCACTGTCGAACTATGCAAACCCAAAGACCTCAAGTGGGATCTTTATGAACTGTCCCAAAATGGGGGAGAGAGGCTGTTAAGTTTAGTTTGGCCACAAATGCCCTGGGGCTGACTGATGGAAAAGTCGTTGCCAGTCTGCGTCAAGGGTTTTTGGACCACCTATAACATAAGGAACTGGGTACAACCTGCAGATGGTGCAACCTGAATCACCGTCACAGCCCATTTTGTTGTACACACATTAACGCAAACATCATTCTTCTGTTATTTAGTTATAATCTAGGACAAAAACAGAATATTATTTTATGTTATAAGATTGCCAAATTTGCTCAAAAATGTCCTAATATAAAAATCAATTTATTTTGATTGAAAAAGCAAAGTAGAGACTTGTGTATGAGTGTGTGTATAGAATGTATGTGAAAAAGGAGTATGAGAGCAATGGCACCTCAAATGCAGGACAATAAAGATTACACCAATATGCATAAATCACACAAAATACAATTTTAAGTAGCTCACTTACTTTTCGTAAAGAATGAACAATAGTGTCCAAAAGTAGTTCAGTAGCCTCCTTAAAACATTGTACACTCCAATTGGGTTGACTCCTATTAGTTGTTTTTTCTCCTTTATAGCATAGCTTCAGTGTTTTGTTTGTAGATGTTTTTTACTCAAACAAGACATGAGAGGGCCAAATAAAACAGTTGCACAAAACTCTGTCTAATTTTGGGTTATTAGCGACTTTATCTCATCCCAATATGTTTCCCCATTGGGATTATTTACACGTTTAGTTCGTGGACAATACGAGCTAGGTGGCTACTTCCTCAATCACTTCCAACAGGAAATTAAGGTGTGGGAGCACAGTATCGCACCAATCTTAACTTTTCTGCACACAAACTGCCTCAGCCCTGGTGGATTTTTCAAATGAAATCTCATTTGAAATTTAGCTCCCCGCGTTAATAGTCCATGGACATATGAACAATAAGCCTTTGTGCTGTTAGTGTATTAAGAAGTGAAAACAAACCCCACGTTGGAGAGAGCTGGTCACTGCACCATATGGTGGTGATAAGATGCCCAGGTAGAATCTAATTTTAATAAATTCCTAATCAGCTTGGAGGGATCCTGAAACAACGTGGTTAATGTGAATGTGTGGAGTCAGCGAGGGCCCTCACAGCTGTGGTCCTTAATAAGATTTGAGCGGCATT